TCGTATATAGTTTCTTCTCTGTAAACAAGTTAGAAAATAAACATGAATAAAAAAATAAACAAGAAACAAAGCAAAGGTCTGAGGTCCCGATCGACCAATCAGGAGTCAGTCTCAGCTGTCAATCAGGAAGTGTCCCGTCTTTCTGACAGTTTTCTTTGTTTTCCTCAAAATGGTTAGAAACAACAAATATAGTTCCGTAAATTAAGATTAGCACATCTTTCATTTTATATAACTTTAAGTATCTGTGACAACACATGACACTTTACGACATCCTCCATTTTGTTTTCAGCAGAGCCTGTCTGTGTGCGGGCGTAGAATAAAGTTAACGTTCCCATGAGGACTTAGCAGCTGCAACGTTAGCCTGGTTTACATGTGGCTGTCGCAGTCAGTCGTCAACCTCAACTGACCAATCAGAATGCATTAGCAGAATGCTAACGAGATATGGGCTAAATCTCTCTCAATCGGACATTTTGTTTCATTGATTAATAATCATCACTATATTTGTTGAAAATAAAATGAACGGCGTAAATAATTATTGTAGCCATTGAGCTCTGTTCACTTTAATTCATTGAGGGAAACCTTGTGAGCGCCCTCTAGGTGAACTGCAGCTAATTTCAATGGCACTCTGAAAAGGGGCTCATGGTAAAAGGAGGCCAAGGGTCAGTGCAGTAACATTATCCACCACCAGAGAGCAGTAAACAGTCAGCTCCATGTTTAAAGTGCTCAGCAGCAGGGTGCCCTCTCTCTCTCTCCCTCTGTTTATTCTCTCTTACCTCGCTCGACCATCTTGTCTCCTGCAGCTCTGCTCATCACTCAGTCTGGACTCAGCAGCTCGGACTCTGCACATGTCCACGACACTCGTCCGTCCACCCGTCAACTCGTCATTCAGAGACAGAAAGACACACGGACGTCGTTCAGCTGCAACATGAAGAAAACGTTTTGGTTTGTGCTCTGGGTGAGACGTCAATCAAACATTTGATTTTAACTGAATTTATCGATGAGATGTTAAATGTCAGATTTCGGGTTTAAATTCAGGGTATTTAAATACATTTCTACTTTTTACTAAATACTGGTGCAAATGCTGTATGTTAATTTGAAGTTATGGCTCTAAAATGATTTTCTGGTGGTTTCTGCTTGATCGTTAATAAATGACATTAAATCATGAAAAAAATTTAAACATTTAAAGAAATAAACTGAAGACGTTAGTGTGAAGAGGAAAGTGATGTTTGCAAGATTCCAGATGTTTGTTTCTTACAGAAACGTTTCCTTATATTTGTTTAGTCCCAAAACAAAAAATTAAAAAATATTTTCTTGTGTATATTACTCTTGTGTGTTGTGTTGTGTTGTGTTGTGTTGTGTTGGTACCAGGTGTGTGTTTGCTGTATTGGTCCGACATGTTGTTGGCACGACTTGGACAACAGCGAGTACGACTGCTGGCCTCTCATCAGACCCAACGAATACAACATGATCGACTGTGGAGGTGACATAAGTACATATTATATATTATAGAATAGTTGTACTGTATCTAATTGACAAATGCATACACTACTGTGATATGGTTTTAGTAACAATCACATACAATACTGTATTTTAGCAATAAACATAGATTTATTTTGATAATAAATTAATAAGATACTTGTTTTAGAGATAAATACATATTCTATATATATATATATGACGTTATATTTTAGCTTTACACATATATATATATATATATGATATTGTATTCTAGCTATAAATACATACAACAAAGTATTTTAGCGTTAAGTACATATAATGGTGTATTTTAGGGATAAATACACATTATACTGAGCATATTAACGCCTAGGGCATCAGGTGCTTATACCCTAACCTTTGTTATGAGCAAGAAATGAATGAACAAATAATTGGTTGTCATCATATCAGTTCTTTTTCCTTCCTGTTTACAAGTATAAAAGAGTTGGGCTGGATTGGTCAGTGTGCTGTTCTGTGTCACTCAGGTCTGGAGATGGCCTGGGTTGTCCGTCCTCCTGAGACGGTGAAGAGTGGCGAGGTGTTCAGCGTCACGTACTCGGTAACGGCTCAGGACTCTTTCTACCACTGGGCTGTTGAAAACCACATCTTCACACACAGGTGACTGCACCTGTTTATACTTGTTGATAAGACATTAAAGTGGATGAAAGACCTGATCCTCTGATCCTGGTCTGGTGTGTTTCTATGTTTAGTTCCATCGTAAATGCTGAAGCGGCTCGGAGCTTCTGTGAACATCACGACTGTCCGGCCAACTGGAAGGACGCAGATGGAGAAAACTGCTGCATTCATCACGCGAACATTCACTCCTGTCCACTGGGATACATGGTACACCTTTATCTCTCCCTCACTTCTCCTCCTCATCTCTCTGACACATTGCAATAGTTTCTAACGATCCACAGATTCAATAGCGAATGCGATGTTTCCAATCTCAAAAGTATTACTGATTACAGCTGATGATTTGTTTGACTGAATCTGGGTTGTTCTGAAAAACTGTAAAAAGGCAGATACCAGAGATATTAGCGTTGTCATATCTTCAAGTTGTAACCTGTTTCTGCAGAAACTAGGTACGTAGGGTTAAGAACCACAACCTTTAACCTTAACTCGAGTGCAGTAACTTCTGTATGTCACCAAACATTCACTTTTTAATTTGAAGTGCCTCAATTTGACTAAATTACATTTTGAAAAGACATTAAACTAATAAACATTAAATAAACTAACTTGCAGACATCAGAGAGCATCTGTGGCCCCTGGATTCCTGACGACGGAAAAATCTTCACGCATACTATCTCCACGTCTGGCAAGCTGACGCAGAGCAACTGGACATCCAAAGTAAGTTCATTTTAACTGTATAGTATTTCCAGCTTCAAATTTCGACTAAAAGCTTTTTGCAGGTTAACCCGCTTCTACAAAACCAGCTAATCTGTAAAAGAGGTGTAATACAGGACCATTGCTTCGTCTTGCAGGTGGTTTTGGTCCATTCTGGTTTGACCTCGCTCATCGCTCACATTCGAGTTGGTCAGATGCAGGTTGCTCTGGAGGCCAAGAGCACCGTGTTGCCTGCTGTTGGTACGTAATACTTATGTTTGTTCCTCCTCTATTTGCCTGCATGACTACAGGGAAAAATACCCGGAGCTTTACGAGACTGACAAAAGAAGCTCAAAGCTACTTTCACCAACGCTACAGAGACAAAAGTGGGACTATCCTCTCAGTCATTTATATGCGATGGTCATCCACTCCCCATCTTACAGGGACTCAGCAACCACGAAGGGTCATATTACATGGCTCCAATCGTGTCCCTGCTCTAAACATAGCTTTTCATTTTTCTCTCCGCTTAAAGTTTGTGGTGATGGTGTCTGTGAGGAGGCGGAGCTTTGTTCCACCTGTCCAGCTGACTGTGGCGAATGCCCTATGACCCCGACCACCAAGCTGGCCATCGGCTTACCGCTCAGCCTGCTCTGCCTCTCGTTCACACTGACCGCCGTGGTGCGTATTCACACGTCACACGAAACATGAAATGCTTAAACAAACGCAGCAAATACTCAACACCAGCCGATGATCAGTCAAAGAATCTGTCTTGTGCAGTGGCTGAGGTACCAGAAACAGAAGCTGCTGTGGGACGAGAGCTGGATCATCGACTTCTCTACAATAAAACAAGGTACCGAAATAATCCAGATCCAAAACAATTAGAAACTAAATAAAATAAAATCAGTTTAGTGATCCGGGCTGATATATATCTGTGTAGTTTGCAAGATAAATTTAACTCACCATCCACATCTAGAATTTTGTAGATT